AAATTTTTAGTATATTTAGAATTTTGATAACTACCGTAAGAGCTCTCGGCAAAGCGCGCGTTGGTGCAGGCCTTGTGTGGAATCGGGACCCGTCATGCCTTGTTATTGAACTAAAGTGTTCGCGTTTCATTGGATGGGGTGACTGTAATTTATATCTTGATCTAGATTCTAGATCTATATTTTATCTTTCTGTTCAAGATTGGCAGAATTTCAGTGTCACTGCATCTTGCCCTCCCTCAGTTCTTACACCTCTCACACTGAATAGGTCTACTTGAGCCATTCTAGTTATTACTAATATTACTCTACTTTGAGTCTGAGCAATAGTTTTCGTCTTCACGTTTATTATATGAACCATGACACCCAGACTGGTTATTGACAGTCGATATTCTGCTTCTAAGTCTTTTTTCAGGCTCAAAACAGGGTTCCTTTTTATAAAGGGCCTATAGTTTATGTAGGCTAATATGATGAGGGGAAAATATAAATACATGTTAGTAAGAACAGACTGAAATACCAAAGTCACACAAGATCTCAGTGCCACACTGACATGTTGACTGGATATAATGTACCAACATGTGTGTGTGTGTGTGTGTGTGTGTGTGTGTGTGTGTGTGTGTGTGTGTGTGTGTGTGTGTGTGTATTTCCTTTTTTTTTTTATAAATGGAGCATGCCTGTCATTGTTATGTATGTAACATGCCCCTGGAAAATGGTGGAGCCCCCCCCCCCCCCCCCCCCCCCCCCCACGGGAAAATGGAGAAGCTGGGAAGCTGTCACCCAGTATTATAATCATCTATTGTTTGAATGAAGACTATACTACAAAATGTACATTTGCATTCATTTAAAGACATTTTGACTTTTTATCATTGATAGATGGCCTTTTTGGGGGATGATTCGTGACGCGCAGCAGCCTGATTTTTTCCTCAAATCGAGGTCTTGAAAAAAATGTCCAATATTTGGTGGGGACCCTGAACTTACCATCTTCCTTGGGTGACAATGGTCACATGTTTTTGCGATTATTAATAAACAAAGACGTAAACTTCATAAGTGGGTTGTTGGCTGGTGCTCTGGTGTGGCTTGCTCCTTCTTTCCTATAAAAAATATATCGTCTCTCCTTCTTTTTTGTGTTTGTTAATCTCTTGTAACACCTCTATTCTTTGGCATTTATATGACCTTATTGTGTTGCAAGTGCCGTAAAACTCTTACTAAAACTAAAAACTGTATTAAAAGACAAAGAATTTTATTTTAAAAATCCTCCTCTTGGTCGGTACAAAATGCCGATTTTCTGTTGTTGTTGTTGTTTTGTTGTTGTTGTTTTTTTTGGGGGGGGGGGGTTGGGGGGGAGAGGTTGGTGTTGGCGCTGTAAACTTTAATTGAAGCACAACAATTTTATTCTTCTAACACGACCTACTTTTTAGACTACTTGGTATTACTCACGTGAAAGAACAAGCGTAAAGGCTCAAAAGTAAAGATTGTTTTACCTAATCAAAAAGTGGTACCTTTCTTTTGATCGTCTGTGTATTATGGAGGTCCCGCCTCTTAAATATCCTTACACAGTGTTGCAAGGTTTGTGAATCCTATACAGTTTTGCACATTTTCGTTTTATTTTGATCTAAGATTTCCCGTATGCCTTGCTCGGAAAAGGGAATGCTAGGACGTTTCTTGTTTGGGCACCTATAGGCGGTGGACTGATAGTCGCTGAAATTCTACAACACGCCACGTTGACAATAAGCCATGCGTTGGCGCTGATTTGGTTTCAAGATCATTTTCTCTGCTATGGAGTTAATCATAAAGGCAGCAACCCCCCTCAGCGTTCGCCGTAGTAATAAATATGATCTTTGTTCATTTCTCTATGAAGTAATACGTTCAAGAAATCGTGACACATGCTGCCAATATTGTATTGTCAATAACGTGAGATTTTGTTTCTACCGTTTGTATAAAACACGTTCTTAAGTTCTCCTCGGTACTAATAAAAATGTATTAATCCTCGGTTGTCTCTGGTTGCTTGTGCCCCCCCCCCCCCCTCTTATTTTTGTTTAGCTTATAAAAGCAAACAGTAAGTTGTATACGGAAGACTGGTTAAGAATAATCACCTTTTCACATAATATACACCTGCGCTTCTTGCCGCCACAAGCCGACTTCAAACCACCATGGGGATGATTTTTAAAGTTTGGTGGGTGGTAGGGATCAACCGGGTGTTGGTAAGTATTGCGCAGTGCCCCAAATATTGTTTAATGGGCGCTTGGAAATTATGCAGGTGGGCGGTACGGAATTTTTAGCTACTTGAATTAAAGGTGACAAAAGCTGGGACTGGCTCTAAAAAGTCGTTGGTGTAAACAGCAGTTCAAGAAAACGAGAGGAGCACGCCGTTTTGTTTGTTTGTTTGTTTGTTTGTTTGTTTTTCTACAGTCAGTCTATACCTGGAGGTAAAAGCCATCCATCTGAAAATTAAGATTTTATTTTTTTTTAAATATTTTTTTCCTTTAAATTAAGTGTTTTACGGCGCTTGCAACTGCGTGAGGTCATAGTATGTGCACGTGGGACACACTAAACTTTTTCAGTTCGTAGGAGATTTTGAATTCTGTACGTGTGGCGGCAGAAGCCAACTCTTATCATTTTTAGACCACCAAGGGATCTTTAACGTGCACGACTTGCACACGGGCCCTCCGAGATTTTTCGCCCTTGTCCGAGAAGGCTAGGTGTAGATCTTTCTTACCAGAAGATCGGGGTGTGGCTGAAAGACAGTAAGAAGGAGCCAAGGAGTAGCAGTAGAAAGGCTGCAGAAAGAGTCAGGAGCCCAGAGGAGGGGGGCAAAGGAGGTAAAGGGGTGGGGGCAGAAAGCGGAGACGAAAGCAGACGACAGAACATTGCAAGAGAACAGGAAAGGAGATAAAAGGAGACAATTTTAGAGAAGAAAATGTTTCGGTCGCTGCCCGGATTCGAACACGGGACCTTTGAATGAGAGGCCAACACCTTAACCTCTAGGCCACGAGAGCCCCCTAAATAACTTTCGATTCTCCCTAAGACTAAGACGATATCTC